TTTTTTGCTGATAATGCTGAGAGTTACGAAAAAATACCTAATTTTGAATGTTTTGTTGCAGCATTGTTGATGTTGCAGTATCAAAAGCAAAAAGGCAGAAAAAGACAGAGTTGACGGTAACAACTTTTCCTCGAGAAATTAGTGCAATAAAATGGAAAAATACCTGATATTCTGAGTTAGGGGCCAACTTTATCATTTCTGTTGCCCTAAAATCAATAAGGGTATAAAAGCTTGCAGTTAAGGGTGCCTCCAACACTCCGCATCCCCTAACTTCACTCTCACTTGAAGAAAGCTCCCAAGAAATCGTTGAATAAGACAACAACGAGAGAAGGGCTACTATTATCTTCTTTTTCTTCTTCTTTTGTACTTTTTAGTGCACGGGTTTTGTATTTTCTTCTTCTCTTTTCTCGTTTGACATTGAGTAGCTAAGTTTATTTGTAAGGGGGAGGTTGTTGTGAAATTGTTCTTGGGCTGTAAACTTTGCTTTGACTTGATGATGATATATATACTGAGTTGAAGTGGTTTTTAACGTTTTATTTTCAATGTGTTTGGCCAACAATGTGCTTGGCGACTCTCGATCATTGGTGAACTCCAGCTTTTTATCCACTACACGTTCATGTTTTTTGGTATTTTCACAGTCCTATTTTGTCGGAATCTTTTTTATAACAATACTGTGTTCGTAAGGTCTTTGTTTGCAAATGAGTCGTTGGGCTTGTTATGATATAAGTGGTTTGTTTATTGGTTTGTTGATTTTTAGACATGGGGGAGAAGCTGACGCACAGGGCGAGACGCAAAAAGGAGATCGTTAGCGCGTTTACATGCCAAAAAAGAAGGTTTTAGATGGTGTTTTTACTATGTTTTAACTTTGTTTCGAACTTTTTCTCGGTCGTTTGAGTTCTAATTCATGCAAAATTCATATATGATGGTTTGTGGTTGGCTTATATTGTAGTTATGACATTTTAGGACCATTTGGGAGTGCAAATTAATCAAAAGATGGAAAAAAACTACATGGGAGGCGCCAGGCGCCTGGGAGGCTGCAGAAAAACTGGTTTTCTTCCAACTTTGCCCTTAATGAAACACGTCTTCCAATGCGTTTTGGTGGTTCCAACCAATGCATCCGTGTAGAAGAAGTGTTCCACTATCAGTTTGAGCACGATTTAGTGTTTCTTTGTTGCTTTCTAAGTACTTTTGAGTTGCTTTCATTAGTTGTTTTTAGTTTTTAAATCCCGAGCACTTTACATTCCTTTATTGAGCTTTGTTTTGTTTCTATTGTTACTTAGTTATTTTCTACCTATTCAAATTTATAAAAATCCAGCAGTTAGCTTATCCTTACTTTGCCTTTACTTTATTTTTAGTTAAGAGAATTGTGTTTTTGGAGGAAAGAGCACGTGACACTCCCCCTTGCTTGAAAGAGAAGGGCGCAGCTCTCAATCCCGAGCAAAACTCTCCGTTAGTTAACTTTTGTTTTTCACACATGCATTTCATTTTCAACCATTTTACTTGCTGTATTTTCTTCAATATGTCTTTCTAAATTCCCGTCTCTAGCCCGGTTATGGATAGTTAGCCTTTTATTTTTAATAAGGGTTGCTAAAAAGTAGTGTTTTTGCTTTCCATTCATTGCTCAACATGTTTTCCCAAAAAGTTAGGATTTAGAGAAGGCCACTGTAAGTCTTAACAAGTCAATACTGAAAAGGTTGCTTATTTGCATTGTTGAGTGGTTAAACCGAGGAGAGGAGCGCCTTAGACATAAGGGTTCCGGTTAAGTAGCCTAGATAGAGGACCTTAACCCGAGGTTGCGTCTATTTCCATCCTAAAACTAAGATATCTCTCATAATAGACATATTAGGGAATGTCTTARGACTTTGAACTTGCTTAGACATAAGTCAAGTGAAAAGCGTAGTCGTTGGTTCCTAAAGTAAAATGCATATCGTCCTTAGCGTACCCTTGATTCTTTGTTGGCTAACTTGAAGTAATTCGAGCTAGGTTTTACCATTATAAGACCAAATCCCAAATCCAAAACCATTATTTGCGACCTCTTCCCATTTTACACGAATCACTCATTTCAACGTCACTATTCATTAAAACTTTAGAGTTTGGAAATTATTTAGAAGTCCTTGAGGATCGATACTTGGATACTCCATCCATTTTATATTACTCTGACAGGTGTGCGCTTGCATATATAGAATTGTTACCATGCTTAGTGCGTGCGTTCAGCATAACCACCAGTCAATATACTGAGTTGAAGTGGTTTTTAACGTTTTATTTTCAATGTGCTTGGCCAACA